GGTGTGTGTGTGTGGCCAGCTCAGCCCACCAGGGGGCGGGGCTGGCTGGCATGTGGTGCTGGGGGATTGAACCGCAGTCCCTGATGCTTTGCCAAGCTAGTTCCAAGTAGGTGCTTTAGACCACTGAGCCATCTCTCCAGCCCCCAGAATTTTTCTTGTTGAATGAACAATGTGATATTAGAAGCCTACTTGAACTAAAAGCAAATTACAATATTTAGCACACCATTACTTATGCAGGTACTTGGTGAGTAGTTTTTATTAAACTGGCATTTATTGGCTTTCTGAAATAGTTTTCTTTCTGGCTCTTCTACGTTTGTGCTTTGTGGGACATCTTTTAAGAGTATCCTCAGACTTTTTTCTCTTCTGTGACAGTATTTTCCAAATGGCTGTAGTCACTGCTATCTAACTCTTTTTTGGTACCTCTGACCTCTGGTTTGTGTCTCCATGCTCATTTCCATCTAATTCTGCAGCTATCTGTGGGTATGTCTTTTATCCCTAAAATCTAGTGCCCAAAATCACATTTACCCATTTTCTCTTTACTCAACAATTTGTGCCTTAGGGTTTTTTTTTTTTTTTTTTTTCTCTCCCATTTTCTTAGACAAAAATTCTTGAAGGCATTTTTATTTTTGTACTTCAGTATCCAATCTGTCATATTTTTTGTTTTATTACTCCATTACTTCTTCAAAATGCTCCTTTATTTCCATTTATAGTATCACCAAATTATAATTTGCACTCTTTTGTTCATTGAGTTATCCATTTAGTGAATATTTAATAGGACATGAGCACATTTGAAATGTTTTGTTTCCTGCAGAACAGACATGTGACATATGTAAAACATATCTCAGGCAGGTGTGGTGGCACATCTCTATAATCCCAGCACTCAAGAGGCTGAGGCAGAAGGATTGCTTCAAGCTCAAGGCCAGCCTAGGTGACGTAGACTTTGAGGCCAGCCTGGACTGCTTAGCAAGACCCTAGCTCAAAATTGTCTCATCTCCCCAAAAAGCTCCATTTTTACCTTCACCACAGAATCTTGATCATACCCATCACTTTTACAGTTTATGCTTAATGTTTTCATGAAAAGTAACTTTTATTTCTGTCCTTCATTTCCCAAAGATTTTACCACTGAATCTGTTGTCCTTAGATCAAATCTAGGAGAAAGATCTTTTATTCTCCACTGATATTACAATACAAGAACAAGTAATAGTGCTGATACTTAGATATTTTTTCAGGTCAAGCTAAAAGTATTAATATTACTGTTTTACTGAAATATTCAGTCTTCATTTTTTAAAAATCAATGAGACTAAACCTTTCAAACACTAAAATTTATAAATATATTAGGAAATGTCAAAAACGGATTTTAGGGGCTGGGGAGATAGCTTGGTGGTCTAAGTGCCTGCCTGGCAAGCACAAGGTCCTGAGTTCAATCCACATGCTGTGCTGGCCACTGAAACTGGGCATGGTGGTGTACACCAGCAATCCCAGTGCTGAGGGGGCTGAGACAGGAGGATCACCATGAGTTCAAGCTGTGTAGCAAAACCCCACACTAAATAAATAAGTTAAATATTTTTTTAAAAAACAGATTTTAAAAATATAAAAGTTAAACATCCTAAAGTCTAATACACTAATTTTTAGAGAGCAGTAAAGAATTAAACACAACATAAAATGAAGACAATCTAGCATGGAAAAATTAATGAAATAGTAGTTGTTTTAGTGTAATCTTATAAAACAGTATGTCAGAACTATCATCAAGTAAATCGTAATGCAAAATTTTCTAGCTTTTTAAAAAAGCTCTTTGTCTATACTAGCTGAGGAATGGAAAAGAGGTACATACATGCTACCTCCCAATATTTTTCTCAAAATTCTTAATCTTGAAATAATTCCAGTTCTTATTTATGGCTTAGAAATCTTTTTTGAAGCTGGGCATAGTGACACATGCCTACAATGCTAGCATTGAGGCAGCAAGAGCCCCATGAGTTCAAGGCTGGTCTAGGCTACCTAGTTCAAAACCACCCTAAACTGCATAGCAGCATTTTTTTGTTTTTTCTTTTCTTTTTTTGGTCCCGGAAATTGAACTCATGACCTCATGCCTGCCAGGCAGGAGCTGTTGCTGAGCTATATCCTTGGCCCAGTAATATGCTTATCCTTTAAAAAAAAGAAGCCAAAATCTTTTTGAGTAGCTTTTTGAGTTTTGTCATTGTTCTTAATTGCAGCTATAATTCTTTGTTATTATTACTATTTTTTTAAATCTTTCACCGGGAATGTAGCTCAGCAGCAGGGTGCTTGTGTAGCATGCGTGGGACCTCGGGTTCCATCCCCTCATTTTTTTCACTGTCATCACACAGATGATTTTGATGCATGGTGACTGAGTCGGTTGCAATACCATTGTGTTCCTGTCTCCTCCTTTGAAAAATCTTCCAACTGGAATATGCCCTGTTCTTGCTATAGAATCTGCACTTAGTGTTGTTTTTGTTTTTCTTCTTTTAATGATTAGGTACAGAAGAGCAAAGTGATAAAGCATGGAGAAAAGTATTCAAAGTTTCAATGAAGGTGTAACTGAGCAGGGAATAGTGTTATTCAGGAAGTATTTTTATATGTTGAATAATAGAATCATTTTCTTGTTCTCAGATTTTAAAAACAAATGCCAAAACCTTGTCACCTATGGGCCATCCTGCTTTCTTTGACTGTAGTCTCCGTTTTGGGTGCTTTCCTGCTTTCTTGACATGTTTTACTCCACTAAGAGCAGCCAGGACCACTATTTCTAGGCTTCTTTGACTCTGAGCAGTGATGGCAGGTTTTTTCTGGTACTGAGAATCAACCTCAGGACCTCACACTTGGCAGGCAGGTGTTGTGTCGGTGAGCTATAGCCCGAGCTCCGTGGTAGCAGGTTTAATTTCTTGCCCTGTACACACCTAGCAGGGTGGTATTATTTGGCTGTCTCTCTTACTCCTCAAGCAAGAGATCTATTTCAAAGGTCTGTTCTTGCCAGGTGCACATTCTGCTGGATTTTGTTTGTGTTTTTGTTTTTGAGAAAGTAAGAGGAGAGATGGCATTTATGTGTATATATATAGATGGGTTGGCTTACATGGTATTAAGAGAAGACAGAGAGTGTGGAAATTGCAAGAGCTGAGTGGTAGGCAGGAGTTAGACTGATTGATGGAGGTAAGAATGACAGGTTATGAGGGGCCATGGAATAAGCACGAAAAGCCCCGGAGTCCAGGAAATGGCATTATCACACCAGAAACAGGATTACCAAAATGCACTAGCCGTATTTCTTATCTTTTCAAAAGTTTTCTGAGATCTCAGAAGGTCTCTTAAAAGCCCAGTAGGTTTGTTTTTAAGAACTAAAGAATGTTTTCATGGTATGCTCAGTAATTTAGTCTGACCTTTAAAAAACTTCTTTGTTGAATTGTCAGTAAAAGTTTTTATATTGATGTAAATTAATACAACATTCTTGGAAATATTACATTTATTCTTAATTTTTGTTTAGCAATGGAATTTAAAGTTAATATAGTAGCTGTGTGTGGTGGTAATTAATTAAAATTAATTTAATTAAATTAAAATTAATTAAAATTAATATAGTAGCTGTGTGTGATTACACACCTGTAATCCCAACACTCAGAAGGCTGAGGCAGGAGGATTGCCGCAAGTTTCAAGCCAGCCTAGAGAGACCCTGTCTCAAAACAAAAAAAGATTAATATATTGTACTATATTTGTGTTCTAGGTTTCTTTGGACCAGTGTTTAGGTAAATATATATTAATAGCTTGGTGTTTATAAATAAGAGTGGTTTCTTTGCAAATCCGTGAAGTGAGATTTATTTTGAAATATGCATGATGCCAAATATGGAAAAAGATATAAGTAAGGCACTTCCTTATATGCATTTGACTTACTACTTTTTTCTGATAAGGATTAAAAATAGTCTTTTCTTTCTTTTTGGTGGTACTGGGGATTGAACTCAGGACCTTGTGCTTATGAGGCAGGCAGAGGGTCCTTATTCTACTGATCTATCTCCCCGGCCAGAATGTTTTAATATTCTTTTTTCTTTTTGGTGAAAAACCTTTTTTTTTTTTTTTTTTTTTTTTGGTGGCTGACTCAGCCTGCCCTGAGGGGGGACTGGAGCGGCATGTGGTGCTGGGGATCGGACCTTGGTCCCTGTGGTTGCCTAAGCTTGCCTAAACAAGCGCTTTAGACCACTGAGCTATCTTGCCAGCCCTGACGGTAAAAATAGAATTCACATCAATGAATTGTTTATATTGGACATATAGTATGAAAGGATTTGAAGATTTTGTATTTTTTAGATATATGTATGTTTCAGTCTACAGCCATACCACCCTGAACGCGCCCCCTATCTCGTCTGATCTCGGAAGCTAAGCAGGGTCGGGCCTGGTTAGTACTTGGATGGGAGAAATATGTATGTTTCAAATCATTTAGTTGAAATAAGACTGATGTTAATGGAATATATGTTGCTGGGGGAGTGAATCTATCACCAAAAATCTAAGAGTCAAAATCCTGTGATTCTAAGGCTCTAGATAGTTTGCAGGTTATTACTAACCTTGTTTTTAAGATGTAACATGTTCATTTATCTTAAATTATTATTACTATTTCAAGAGCAGAATATTTATTGGGGGAAAGAAAGCTGTCCGAGAGAGGAACAGAAGGGGTACCTGAGCAGGTTGCCCTGGAACATTTATCCTCAATTATGCAACAAAATTTCTGAGATAATATTAGTAATGTTCCATAAAACATTATGCCACATATGTCAAGGTTTTCCTATCTCATCATCATGTAATATGCTAAATTAATTAAATAAAAGTATAATCCATGCTTACTAAGTAAACGTCTGTGAATTTTACGTCAGTATTGTCAAAAAATCAGACAGTACTATCCATTTACAAATTGGTATGTATGTTAGTAGTTTTTCTGTATTATAACTGTTGAGATAAATTTTATGTATCATAAAATTCTATATGGTAGATTTTGGAAAAGAACATTTCAAAACAAAATGCTGGGGGTCTGCCCATTAGCTCAGTTGTTTAGTGACTGCTTAAACAGAGCAGTCAGGCTCAGGTTGCTATGGTTCAATCCTCAGATCCTCAAGCCTTTCTAAAAACCTGCCCTGAAGGCATCCTGAGCCAGCCCCTCTCCAAAAAAAAAAAATCCTTCAAAACAAAATGCTTTAATAACACATATCTCCAGGTATTTACAAATAGGTATTTTTATCACCTAATTGTTTAGAGGGAAATGGATAAATATTCCAAATCCCCTGTTAGGAACCTATTCATTTCCAAAAGGAAAAAAATAAGTAAATCTACTGAATAAATCTTAAACAAATGACTTAGTTAGATTTTACTTAATTACCTTAGTTAACTCAAAATTAACTTTCAAAAAAAAAGTTAACTTTCAGTTAAATATTAATTAATTTAAATTTTATTTTTTAATTATTTATGTATCTACTTTTTTATGTGTTTGGTCCAGGGTCTCATTATACAGCTTGGACTTGTAGCGATCCTCCTGTTTTCAGCCTCCCCAGTGCTGGGATTGTAGGTGTGTGCCACCATGCCTAGTCTTTATGGCCCGTTCAGTGTGCTGGGGGGCAGGGCCAGTGTGGCATGTGGTTCCGAGGATTGAACCCTGATCCCTGCACTTACCTAAGCAGGCACTTAGTCCACTGAGCTATCTCACCAGCCCAAGTTAATTAACTTTTAATTAAATTCTTCTACATTTGCTATAAAATGAGGATCATTTTTGCACTTAATATTTTGTTTCCTCTTCATGATCTCCATTGAAAAGGAAATGTAAAATAATGCCGTTAGCAGTGCCTCTTTTCTGGGTTGTTGCTTGTGCAGATTGTTTGAAACAGTGCTTGATTGTTGGGGATTGTGGTAGGTGCTTAAGTTATGAATTAGCTTTTTATCAGTGTGACCAAATGCCTGTGTAATCAGCTTAAAGGAAGAAAGGCTTTGATTTCCAAGGGTGTGGTCTATGGTCAGCAGGCTGCAAAACAGAAATACCGTGACACAAAAGCATGGTAGCCAGGGAGAACAGTAGGAGGGAAAGAGCCAGAGAGAGAGGAAGGAGCTACAGACAAGACATCTTTCGGAGGCATGTCTCTAGTGACCTAATTATTCCAGCTGGGCCCCAACTCCTAATGAACCTATTTAGCTGTGAATTTGTCATGGAATTAACCCATTGATGAGGTTAGCATCGTCATGATCCAATGACCTCTGTTAGCCCCTCCTCTGAATGTTGCTGCATTGCCCAATACATGGGTCTTTGGTGACACTTTGTGTTTAAATTATAACAGTTAATAAATGATAGGGCATGTTATCTATCCCCAAGGATCTTGCACCAGTTCAGGAACTCATCATGTAGGGTATCCTATTTGTTTCTCTGTTCTCTGCCCATATGAATGTTAATTATCCTTTAAGATGTAAACCTTTCATGAAGTTTTTACCTGCTCAAATTCCAATATGTCCTTTCTGTATACTTCTTTTGCATTATTTAGAAATGAAATATATAGTAGTATATGTTTTGTCTTTGTAATGGGATTTTAAATTTCTTGTGAGCAGAAATTATCTTCCCTTTGTTTTTTATTTTTTAATTTGATACAGAGTCTCACTACACAGTTGAGACTCATAGTGATCCTCCTGTCTTAACCTCCCCAGTGCTGGGATTACGGGAGTACACCACCACACATGGTTTCAGGGCTGCCACACATGCCCCAGATTCCAGGGCCAGCATGGCATGTGGTGCTGGGGATTGAACTTGGGTCCCTGTGCTTGCCAGGCAGGTGCTTAAACTGCCAAGCTATCTCCCTAGCTCCTCCCTTTATTTTTTTTTTTATCTTATTAGCACATAATATAGTAGTAAGTACATAAGAGACTAAGTATAGTATTTGCTGATTTTTTGACTCAAGATTTTTCAAGATTTTTTAAAAAAATGTATTTAGTACAGGGTCTACAGGATCTCTCGACACAGATCCGATTCATAGTGATCCTTCTGTTTTCAGCCTCTCAAATGCTGGGATTACAGGTGCATGCCACCGTACACCTTGCCTCAGTCTCAATCTCAGCGTGCCCTGAGGGTGGGGCCAGCACAGCATGCAGGGGGATCAGACCCCAGTCCCTGTGTCTGCCTAAGCAGGTGCTTTAGTCTCTGAGCTGTCTGGCCAACCCTCAAGATATACTTTCTTTAAAACAAATTTTAATAGAAACAGAAATATGAAATTTTTTAAAAAGCTTGCTTCTTCTCCTTAGACAGCTACCATACACTGGTTCTGCCATTTGGTGTTTGGAGTCACAGTTTGAAGGAAACGGTACCTTTCAGGTGTTAAACTTATCAGGGATAGTAAGTTGTGCATTACCATAGCTGTTCACTTACAGTTTATTCTCTTACAGATACTGCAGGAGAAGAGGCTGGGTGCGATCCACACTCATTATGTCTGTTCCACAAACAAGTACTTCTAAAGGGAAAGTCATGCTTAAAGAGTATAGTGGACGTAAGGTTGAAGTAGAGCACATTTTTAAATGGATAACTGCTCACGCGGCTTCTCGGATCAAAACCATTTATAATGCTGAACATCTGAAAGAAGAATGGAACAAAAGTGATCAGTACTGGGTAAAAATATACCTTTTTGCAAACCTTGACCAACCGCCAGCTTTCTTCTCTGCACTAAGTATAAAATTTACTGGAAGAATTGAATTTATTTTTGTTAATGTGGAGAATTGGGACAACAAGAGTTATATGACAGATATTGGTGTATATAACATGCCATCATACATACTTAGAACTCCTGAAGGAATTTACAGATACGGAAACCACACAGGTGAATTTATATCTCTTCAGGCCATGGATTCTTTTTTGCGCTCATTACAACCTGAAGTAAATGACCTGTTTGTTTTGAGCTTGGTTCTAGTTAATCTTATGGCTTGGATGGACTTATTTATTACTCAAGGAGCTACCATCAAGCGATTTGTGGTTCTCATAAGCACTTTAGGGACATACAATTCCCTGTTAATTATTTCCTGGCTGCCTGTATTGGGCTTTTTACAGCTCCCTTACTTGGATAGCTTTTATGAATATAGCTTAAAATTGTTAAGGTATTCCAATACAACCACATTGGCTTCGTGGGTAAGGGCCGACTGGATGTTTTATTCCTCACACCCAGCCCTGTTTCTTAGTACGTACCTTGGACATGGTTTACTAATTGACTACTTTGAGAAGAAGAGACGGCGCAGCAACAATGATGAAGTCAATGCCAATAACTTAGAATGGTTATCGAGCCTGTGGGACTGGTACACCAGCTACCTCTTCCACCCGATTGCTTCTTTTCAGAACTTTCCTGTAGAATCTGATTGGGACGAAGACCCCGACTTATTCTTGGAGCGGTTAGCTTTCCCTGACCTTTGGCTTCACCCTCTGATACCAACTGATTACATAAAAAACTTACCAATGTGGCGATTTAAGTGTCTTGGAATCCAGTCTGAAGAGGAAATGTCAGAGGGTTCTCAAGATACTGAGAATGACTCAGACAGTGAGAACACAGACACTTCTAGCAGTGAGAAGGAAGCATTTGAAGATAAACAGGGCATAGTTCACAATTCTCCAGGAAGAGCAAGTCACTGTGATGTTGAGGCTTGTTCATGTGCCAATAAGTATTGTCAGACCAGCCCCTATGAAAGAAAGGGGCCATACTATGGATCCTATAGCACTAGTGAAGATATGGAACCTGATTGGTTAGCTTGGCCTACTGATATGCTGCACTGTACTGAATGTGTTGTTTGCCTAGAGAATTTTGAAAATGGATGTTTGCTAATGGGGTTGCCTTGTGGTCATGTGTTCCATCAGAATTGCATTGTGATGTGGTTGGCCGGAGGCCGACACTGTTGCCCTGTTTGCCGGTGGCCTTCTTACAAGAAAAAGCAGCCATATGCACACCAGCCCTTGTCAAATGATGTCCCATCTTAACCATGTGCAATTTGTCCTTTATAAGCTTTGGGTACCTTACAGCTTGCCTTTTTAATGTTAGTCACATGTTTTTGTGGTTTGAAGTTTAGTTTAATGTTAGTGCAGTGACAGGAAATACACATTATGCTAATGTTGATGACTGAATTTATTGGTTGCCTTGTATGTCAATTGAATGCATACTTAATTGTAAAAATTTTATTTACAACATTGGAAATTCAGAAGTTAATGTTTTTTGTAAGCACAAAAGAAGTATGATAGAAATTTATCCTAGTAAAACTTTACAAAGTAGGATCAAATTCTTACGGAATTGAGCTGGTTTCTTATCCTAAATGTTTCCTCCCTTTTTACAATCTCTGTTCAGCACCTCTTGGTTAAATAATGTATGCTCTGAGACATGAAATTTAAACAGACCTATGAAATAAATTATTTTAAAACCAGAAGATTACAGGTTTCCAATGTTAAATTGTTTTTGATAAGGTAAATGTTTTCTATTAATTTTACAGGTAAGTCAGACATTTTAGACTGGGGGAAGAAAATAAAAGGTAGAAATTGTTGTTGACGCTGGCCAGCAGTAATGTCCATCTACCTTTTACTATGGTTATCTTTTTTAACGACAATTTCATGAAGAATTTTTAGTAAGTAGTAAATAATTTAGTACTTAACACATTTATTTAAATAAAATCAACTAACATTTTAGTGACACGTAGATACCTTTATATGCTTTGCCTTTTTTTTAAAATTTCAAAATGAGAAAAAAGTTGGAAACAGTAAACATCTGTTTGCTTGATTCACCACATTGAAATTTTACTACTTTTGTTATCGCCTCTCTGCATATTTTAATCTTTTTTTAGCTAAATCATTTTCCTGATCCTTTTGAAAATAGATTTGAGTCATCATGATGCTTTCACATTATTGTATTTCATAAGAACAAGGACATTTTCTTACATAACCACTAAATCATTATTACACCCAAGAAATTTAACACTAATTCAATAATATCTAATATACAACCCATATAGTCCAGTTGCTCCCAATGTATATTCCAGTTCTCTTTTGTTAACATTGTGAACTCACAAGATTTGTGCATTAACTTTACTTTTGTTTTCATAGAGTACATGCCATTTTTTGTTTGTAAATACTGTTATTAGTGACATTTCTGAGGAGTAAATTCCAGTTGGCTTATGGAATGCTTCACATTCTGGATGTCTTATATTTTCATGATTAGATTTAAATTTAAAAAATATTGCTGGGCTGGGAAATAGCTCAGTGGCATAAGCGCCTGCCTGGCAATCTCAGGGTCCTAGGTTCTATGCCCCATACCAAAAAAAAAAAAAAAAATATTGCTTAGATGATACTCACTTTTGTATGATGTTGTGGGCATATGAGACCAGCTTGTTCCATTGTTGGCGATGTCCAATTTGGCTAAAGTGAGTACTTGCCTTACCTGTTCATTGTAAGATGATGCTTCACTTTATGATTAAGGGGAATCTATAAGATCACGTGAATATCCTGCTCCTCTTCTCAGCATTTTTAACATCCACTCATGATACTTTGAATCATTAATACAAGTTGTAATGTGAGGATTTCCTGATTCCATCATTGTTCATTTATACGGTGGCACTTTTTTTCCATATTACTTCCACACTTGGAATATGACTGGGCTTAGATTGCTTTTGGTCAATATTCCATGTGTTTAAGCTTTGGATACTCAACCAGCACCAAATATGGCTGATGGGAGCACTTCTAACTCTGCTCTTATGTTGTCCTTTCCATCTTTTTTGTACTTACTCACTTTCAGATGTAAGGTGTTCCAAGTTTGCTTTGTATTTTCCGATCTCAGCTCTTTAATCAGTCTTTTTCTTCAAAGTATACAAGTTCAATTGCGTTTAAAAATCATTATTTGACTGCCTTGCCATAAAAGTAAATCTTTAATTGACCTTTCTGGTAAGAAAATGAAATTATTTAATTTTGAATTGCTTTTGCAGTACTGACAAAGCACTTTTATTTTCTGTATAGCACATTGTGCCTTATTTTGAAACACTAATGGAAAAACACCTGCTCACAAACTTACAGTGAGGTTATGATCCAGTAAACCTATCATAAATTGAGACTGTGAGAAATGCATGTGTATGCCCAATCTTAGGCCAGGGATATAGTGTAGCAGCACAGCACCTGCCTGGCAAGCACGAGGTCCTGAGTTTGATTCCCGGTAACCAAATGATAGTATACCCAATCTCATGTCTTAGAGACACAGCACACTACAATGTGTTACATAACTACAGAGTTGGAACCCACTGATGCTACCCAGTATTGTCCAGAGAATGTACTACATGTTGCTAGCCTGAAAAAAAAATCAGAATTAGAAGTATATTTTAAATGTCTGTTAAGTCATCATAAAGTCTGAAAAATGCACAGGTTGGTTGGAAACTGCAGTAAGGACCAGCAATTACTGACCTTTATTAATACTTCAGAACATTTAAGATAGTAACTGCAAGCCAGGTGTAATGGCACAGGCCTGTAAGCTCAGCACTGGGGAGGCTGAGGCAGGGTGATCGCCACAAGTTCAAGACCAGCTTTGGCTACACAGTTCAAAGCTAACTTGAATACATAGAAAACTATAGGCAGTACTCCTTGTGTTCTGACCTTTTTTTTAATTTTTATTTTTTTATTTTAGGTCTACAGGGTGTTCAGGGTCTTACTACTAGATCAGACTTGTAGTGATCTGCCTGTTTACAACCTCTCAAGAGCTGGGATTACAGGCGTGCACCACCATACTCAGTCTCAATCCCGCTCTGGGGGTGGGGCCAGCACGGCAGGCCCAGGGATTAAACCCCCAGCCTCTGCGCCTGCTTGCAGGTGCTTTAATCCTCTGAGGCTTTTGGCCCTGATTCTCCTTTTGGGGGCAAAGGGGAAAGTCATGTTTTTGGTGTTTTGAGACAAGGTCTTGCTATGTAGTTCAGGCTAGTCTTGAGCTCACTAGAGCTGTAATCTACTTATATCTTTAACATTACAGATCCAGTATAGATACTCAGTAAATAACTGTTGATCTGAATTTTAAGAATACATTTTCATTTTGTCTCCAATGTTTTATCCAACATTTTATTACCTATCAGATAAAACAAGATTATATTTTTACTTCCCTTCAGTACCATTAGTGACAAAGATGACAATGTCTATGGCCAGTTCCAAGACAAAGATGCTAATTTATTTTCCTGTGTACATACTTCTTTTTTATCTATTCTTTAGATTATTTGAGAGCCTTCAGATTATTTGTATAATCTTTTTCCTTGCTGTCCTCTGTTATTCCACTTGGCCACCATTTTATTACTCCTTAAAACTCTACCAAAGGGCTATTATGTACACCAAAGCGAAACATATGTCTTTTTTTGCCACTGGATCTGATAGTACTGAAATTTAACTGTTAAAATAATATTGTGAACCATCTATTTTAGTCACTCTTGTTCTTTGATAGTAATACGTATTGATTTATGATCAATTTAGTTAATCTAACATTTTAGTATCTTCTGATAAAAAACTTCTACTGTTTCAGTACAATAGACTATTAATATCAGTTGGAATCTGAGGAATCTTGACTTAATAGATGATCAAGAACTCAAGACAACTGGGATAATAAGTGACTGAAGAGCAGCTTTCCAATTCCTGTATCTTCAGGATTCAGAGAAAAAAATTCAAGTGCAAAAGTGTGTGGACAACAGTGTGTATGCCCCCTAACAGCTTTAAAGATGTGTCAGCTAATCCAGGTTGGCTGTGGTCTCTTTGCAACATCCAGGTATGACTGTATGAGGGCTTTTTCTACCATATTTTTACTCTCTCAGAAATATGTATTTGTGGAAGAGATGCCTATAGGAACCTGCCTTTTTAAAGTCAAGCATCCTTTATGTTAGTGTACAATTGCATACTTGGTATTGTCAAGTTCTCTTAGGTTATGTGCATGATGGGACTAAGTATGACTATCAAGTATACATTTTGTGTGTAATGTTAAATAATGATGCTTGAGCAATTTTTTCCCCGAGCATTGGGGACTATGTCCAGAAACTTGTATAGACCAGACAACTGCTCTACCACTGAGCTACACTGCCAGCCCTTGAATAATTTATTTAGTCTATTTTAAAATATACTCATAGTATTAACATGGAGGATACCTTACTAAATTTATGTCATGTTTACCTAATAATGAAGAATGAAAGTAAGCTTAAAGATAGAAACCCAAAGAGGCCAAAGTTGGGCACTCACGTTTTCTCATTCATGGAGCATCTATTGGGTAGGTGAAGAGACTCACATGTACTCTCTGAAATTTATTTTTACTATATGTATAATTTGAGTGAGTGTAGGTATTTAACTTTCCAGTCTATAAGAACTGCATATATGGAAGCTATAGAATAATGGAGAAGCCTTCTAGAGGAAGGTCAGCCAAAGCAGGGAGGTGTTCCTTCTATCCTTAAAAGAAAAATAGAGAACTGACACCTTCATCCTCATGGAGCCTCAAGCCCTTGGACAACGCTAGTCTTGACAGAATGTTACTAATTTTATCAAAAGGAAAAGTTTCTACTTCCTGAAAAACCCATTTTGTGGGGATTATGTTAGAAGGACAGAAATCTTGCTCCATGTCTTTCTTATAAAGGGTTAATGCCCAGCAGTCTTCGCCAATTTAACCATAAAACATGAGATCAATTGTATGATATAAAAATGACTTATATGGGGGCTGGAGAGATGGCTCAGTGGTCTAAAGCACCTACTTGAAACAAGCTTGGCAAAGCACAGGGACCGCGTTTCAATCCTCCAGCACCACATGCCAGCCAGCCCCGCCCCCTGGTGGGCTGAGCTGGCCACACACACACACACACAATAAATAAATGTAATAAATAAAAATAAATAAATATTAAAAAAATGACTTATATGCAGCATATTTTTAGTCAGTGTCACTAATGTTACAAAATTCTACAAACTTTTTTCTGTCTTAAGAATTCCAGGGTTGGGGATTTGGCTCAGCGGTAGAATGCTTGCCTAGCAAGCTGGAAGCCCTGGGTTCAGTCGTCGGCACCAAAAACAAAAACAAAAAAATTCTATTTGCTGATGGAGGGTCTGTGGCATATTGCCACACAGATAAATTATTTGGAGTTATGTAATTATAATTAATATGATTATTTGGTGTTTCTATTTGAAGACCTTTCACAAAGACAAAGTAGCATGATTTCAGAGAATAAGATTTCTGGTATTTTCGGGGTGGTTGGTTTTTATCACTTAAGTGCTCTTTTATTTTTGCTTAATTCTGAGCCAAGTCATTGAGCAGCAGGTTTCTGGAACAAACTGTTTCAAGCTCTCAGCTTTATTGCCAGAGAAGTATTGTTTTGTTTTGTTTTATTTTTGTTTTGAGACAGGATCTCACAATGTAGTCCAGTCTGGTCTCAAACTCACAGCAGT